TAATAGCATCCCATCAGTCTCCTCCTTATAGATTTCTTCCAATTTCCAAGTCATCTTTCAAGATCTTCCAGTAACATAATTGAATTGGGGTGCTACATTTGCATAAAATTGTGGCTGCCCTTGTTGCTCGTCCTCCATCCTAATGACTCACAGAATCAGCTTTAAAATAGAAAAGCTATCTTTATTTTTTCATAATGCTGTTACAGCAGTGGCTAAAAATAATTCTATTATGCCCTTAATAAGCTGCATGCAGACTTTTTAGTAATTGAAAGATCATTTATAAACTAATTTGAATGGCTGGGAAATATTAACATGCAGTGGCTCTTTAAATTTCTCTATTTCTTTTGTCCTTGTTTTTGTATTATAATAATTTAAAAGGCAAACTCCAGTGATGTAAAGACAGACCACAGGAAATGAAAAAGTTACACATGTAGTTTTCTCTACATACAATTTCTTAAACTTGATTTAAAGAAAATAAGCTAAGATATTTAATTGAATTGTAAAATGTTTCTCATATTGTTTCAGTAAACTTTTAAAATATTTTTATTTATTTATTTGGTACAGGATCTAGCTTGGAGTGTTCCTCCTGTCTCAGCCCCCCCAGTGCTAGGATTACAGGCGTGTGCCACCATGTCTGGTTTTGGTGGCTGGCACGGTGTGCTTAGGGTTCCTGGGTCAGCACAGCATGCAGTACTGGAGATCGAACCTGGGTCCTTGCGCTTGCCAGGCAGGTGCTTAGACCACTGAGCTATCTCCCCAGCCTTCAGTGAATTTTTATACTTTCATAATTGTTGTGTATTTATACTTTGTTCTCCCCAATTAGACTGTAACCTCTTAGGGACAGTTATAATGTTCTACATTTTGGGCCCCTTCCAGTTTCTATTATGCTGCTATAGAATTGCTGAAGAGTATTACCTTTGAATGCAACATTAATAGATCTTATTTCCAGACATATTTTACTTATAAATTGAGGCTCACTTCTGTATGGTACTAAGCCACATTCCCCAGTCTGTTTTTAAGTTTTGAGACAGAGTCTTGCTAAACCACTAAGCTGTCCATGCTGGGCTTGAGCTTGGGATCCTTCTGCCTCAGTTTCCCAGAGGCTGAGATAATGGGTGTGTGCCACCATGCCCAACTCAAAGTCACGTCTATGCACTGTTCTAGAGCTACTAAGAAATTACTCTGACCTTAGCTAGATTATATATCCATTATAAAAGCCTGGCTGTTTCTTCTTTTAGTAATATTTTCCTTCATTTAAGTGATATCCATCCATCTAACTTCACATTATTCAGCAGGGAATCAGTTTAGCAGAGAATTACCCACTCTTTTGGTCTGCGCCTATTTATTAGTGCTACCTTCTGTTTTACTAATATGCAAGCATTAATTAACCAAGACTATTACCTTCCTACATATATTCTAAAATTGTGGACAGTTTTCATCTCTACACACAAGGGTGTTCTGGTGGCAAATGATGCTTCTAACAAGAAATTGCTATTTTCTATAGGTCCAAATTGATATAAAAATAATTTATGTGAAGGCCAATTTTTTGACACTATCTGCCATCTCTCCAGTGGTATGTCCATCAATCACTAAGCTGTCATTGAGCTATGAAAAGTATAGAGGCGATTAAAGGAAGCTGAAGACCAGTCCTGTCCTTAACTTCCTGTCTCTTGAAAGAGGGAACTCTGTACACAGAGAAGATTAGAAAAGGGCATGGTGTATGATAAGTCACAGTAAGTGAGTAGAAGGAAGACACGGGAGCTGGCATGATGTGATGTATTGGCAAAGTGTGAGGAATGAGTTTATATTTTGGGAGAAGCACAGCACAGTGAACAGGAACATCTATATGACTTACAATCTTACAACTTAGGACCACCAAACTTTATTTTTTTCTTGTCTAGAAATTAGAATAATGATCATGACAATGGCTTCACTTTTTCTTTATGAACCATATATTAACACGTGAATACAGTTTAATGGTCTGTTGTTTTAACTATATTACAGTGTTTCTGCTCCAACATTATTTTAGGAAATGTGAAAATTGCTGGATGGGAATAAAACAATGGTGATTATTTAATATGATTATATGTGGGATGCTACAAAGAATGCTTTTACACTATATAATTTAATCATTTTCCCAACACTCCTAAGAATCAACGATTACTATTCCCATTTTATAGAGGGCAAACCTTTGGGTTAGGTGTTGTTATCATTAAGGTCACGCATCTAATAAGGATCTGAACCTAGATGTGTCTTACTTTTAAGCCTGAGTCTTGACTGAATACTTTTCGTTATACTGCGATACGACACAAAGCAACAGAACTCAAAGCCAAACGAAACAGCTTTCTATGCCTACTAATCAGGAAGAAAGTATTTAAACAATATATTATTTTAAGAAAAGTGACAATAAAGCTATAGAGGAAACAAAAGACCAGTTCTTACAGGGTTAATATGCCATGTGTGAGAGTTTGAGCTTGATTCTGTGAGTAATTCATAGGCCTAGAGGCACGTACAAGAAAGGACCATACCCCTATCTGGCAGAGTTGGTGCTCAGCACAAATGAAATGCCCAAGGCTTTTAGAAAGACAGATTCTGTAACTGTGGTACACATTTTTGAGGGACCTAAGACTGAGAAGTCACTGTAGGCGTTTGGCAAAGATGTCAAGAGCCTGAGCCTGCTGCACTGTTTAGAGACAATCATGCTCATTCCTGCCCAACTGCAGGTTCAAGTTGATAGCTTGAGATCAGTGGGGTGGGAGAATGTACAGCTCAGAACATGGCACACATTACAAATGAGGGCTTTTCTTGAAAGCTGCTGTATGCACACATTACTCATATGAACAAAAGCAACAGCAATGGAACTAGAAAACAGGACACCTCCTAGAAGGATGGATAAGGTGGACTCAGCATCATTTGGGCTCATGGAGGTGGAGTGTCAACTGGGGAGATTCTAGAATGACTTATCAGTTTTTTGGCTTGGATGCTTCATGTGGAAAATTGGTGCCTCCTACTGAGAGTTCAAGATAAAGGAAAGATGTTGAATGTTGTTCAGGGTTTGTTGAGGTACATGCGAGACATAGTCGTGACAATGACTAGGAGACAGTGGTTATATGCTTATGGAACCAAAGGAGAGGTCTGGATATAACATAAAATATGGGGATCGTGAGTTCATAACTGACAACTGAAGTTATGAGAGTGCATGAACTTTCAAAGTAGAGGGAAAAAACCCTGGTAAAGGCTGTTGTCTTTGTTTTATAAAAGTAAACATAAATAAAATCATGTGTCTTTTTGTCCAAAGATAGTTTGAGTAAGTAGGTAGAGCTAGCTAGTTCTTTGTAAATACATTTACAAAAAAAAAGGATCAAGGTAATATATACTTAAATATAGGATTCTTCTTTTTTTTTGGTTGGCTCAGGCTGCCTTAAGGGCAGGTCTGATGCAGCATGTGAAGCTGGGGATCGAACCTCGGTCTCTTATACCTGACTGAGTTTGCCCAAGCAGGTATACTTGAATATAAATTGAGTATAAATCAATGAGTTTTAAAAATGACTTGTATCTGATGAAAACAGATTGATATGATTTATAAGAACTCCACAGCAAGAATTTTCAAAGTGACATTTTTAAAAGCTGCAAAACACTTAATACCCAACACCTGAAAGAAGAAAAATATAATTGTTTTAGAAACCATCTTAAATGAAATTATGAGGACTCTTACCCCATACTTTATCTTATCACTATCCTGTAATAACTTCTTTGCCCGTGCCATCAAACTTCAATAAGGAAACTATCTTTTATCTCCCTAGGTTTGGCAACTTGTTCATAGTATATACTCAGAAAAATTGGTTTCTTCTATGACACAATGGAAGGTTTGAATAGACTACCTGGAAGGTCCCTTGTAACCCTGAGGGTTTATGAAAAGGGAAGTGGTAATACTTGTTTACTGCTGAAAAGAAGAAGTGGGCTTCATTCTAGGTTGCCCCAAAGGGCCAATGTTTGGCAGTTACGGAAAGATAGTAGATTCTCAGCTCACCTCCACACTTCTCACACTGGTAGGGAAGTCTGAACAACTACAGAGCTCCAACAGAAGAAGGGCTGTCCTTAGAGGTGGTTATCTATTAAGAGAACTGATAGTCAACAGCTGGAAGAGCCCCTAGGTATGTTTAGGTCTTCCAAATCTTTTTCACACAATTGCCTGTATACATAAAATGTTATGCATACAACGAGATCAACTTGTGCATCAGTCTCACTGGCCGACTTGTCATACTTGCTCAGGGCTTTGATTGAAAAGACTCATCTAAGTCATTCTGTTTGCAGAGGGGAAACAGAATCTTGGCGCGGGATGCGACATTCGCAGGACACTGTGAATGCCAGTGCTGGAACCAGCTTTCAGCTTGCCGTCCCCTGGCCGCAACGTCCTCTGGTCACATTAAGGAGAGCTGCAGCGCAGCTCTTCCGCGCAGTAAGTGGGAGGACAGTCCTAAACCAGTTTTAAGTGGGTCCGAGACCTCTGCATTAGAACGTTACACGCCGGGGTGCTGTTAGAAACGCATGTCAAGAGCCCCACGCAGACACCCCAGGCAGCTCTGCGACAGTTCCAGGGATCGTGCTTTTTGAGGGTCGTGAATCCCAAGCGCTCTGCGTCCTGTTTGCACTCGAGCTCCACACCGCGGGTTCGGCGGGACGCGCGCGCCCGGAGAGGCGGGGCCGAGCGACTGACTATCCCTTGCGCTTGCCGTCCACCAACTGCTAGCGTAGCCTGCAGACAGTCGCAGGCCCAGCAAAGGCAGCGACCCGGGGCACAGGCCCAGCGACGCCCTCTAGAGGCCACGGCTCTCTGCAGGCAGGGACCTGCGGTTACCCTCACCCGCGCGGGCGCCTCGGTCCTGTTCTCTCTCTGCCCCCATGGGGACTCACAACTGCGCCTGCGCAGACTCCGCCCCGCCCCCTCCCTACCGGATGTTGACTGGCTTCCCAGAGTGCCTCGCGAGTGGCGGGCGTGATAACAAGTCCGCGAGGCCAGCTTGCGGGCGCGGGTGGCCCTTGCCTCGCCTGAGTCCTGCCCCTGCGTGGTCAGCCGGGTCGATGGCGCTCCTCAGGGGTGCGTGGGGCATGCTGAGCGCCCTGGGGAGGTCCGGGGCAGAGCTGTGCGCCGGCTGTGGAAGTAGACTGCGCTCACCTTTCAGGTAGGATGGGACCCCGCGCCCGCGAGGCCCGGACGGGGCGGGCTGTGTCCTGCCCGCGCACCCCGCTGCCCGTGCTGCTCCTCCCAGCCCTCCCCGTCATCCAGCCTTGAGCCCTGTCGGGCTTCCTCGACGGAGTCCGCCACGAGTCTCCCGCCATTACCCGGTGTGCGGCGTGCAGTGCCCAGGAGCCCGAGGTCCCTGCCTCCCGCCGCTCCCACCTGCTAGGAGAGGGGCGCCGGGGCCAGCGCCCCTCCTTCTGGCGAGGGCGGGTTTGAAATAGGTCCGAAGCGCTGGTGCGCCCAGCACCACACGGCGATGGACCCCAAAAACATAAACGCGATTAGGATGTACTCCTGCGGCACGGGGTACTTTTCCTGGGCCCAAATTTGCTCTTCCGAAGCTGTTTCTTTTTCTGCCTTTAATAAAACTTGGCTATCGTTTTTAAAAGCCCGACATTGATTATCTTTTTATTTACATGAAGTTTTATGTATGTTCCAAGATGGTTTTCATCCACCATGAATGGGTATCCGAAGAAACCTTTGAATTCATACGTTCGCTTTGCTAAAGAAAAGATGAACATAATTAAAGCTCAGAACCCAGGTAAGGAGTTTGGGGGCTGGTACTCTTTCTGACGTCATAAAAAGCCCGCCAAATAGTTAATAAGCTTGATGTACCCTTCCAAAGCATCTAGTGACTCCTGGAGCAATTATTTTGTTTGAAGGTCTGTAGAATATACACTTTAAATGAGAACTAATGACATACATGTTTGAAATGTTTGGAAAGCACCCTGAGAAGATAATTAAAAACTTGAACTTGAGGGCTAAGTTACCTTTAGCTTAGGGTGCCACTCACAGATTTTTAGCTCCTGCTTAGTCGCTGCTGCTTCTGTTCTTGTTGGGTTTTTTTGAGAAAAGGTCTCACTTTGTAAATTTTGCCAGATTTGAACTCAGTATGTAGCCCAGTTTGATTATCCTGGGTACACCATCACACCCAGTTTAGTCATATAGTTGTGACAAAATAACCTGTGTACTAGTGTTCTGAAACTGTTTCACAGTGGTGCCTCAGTTCATAAATTTAATTCTTTCCCTGATTCTAGCTGCAAAATCTGTTTGATGTGGGTTAGGGTTAAGAATGAAATTTTGTGACCAGCATGGTAGAAAGAATTAAGTTCAATTTTTTTTTTTCATTGAAAATTGTCTCTTAAGTTCCTGAAAAAACGTGTCTGAGTAGGATGTTTGTTGAGGGTCTAACTAATCTCTGCATATGACTTCTAAGTGTTCTCCCTGCACTACCTCCCTGAGTACCTGTGAAAATCACATAAGCTGTAATAAACATGCTCATATTATAGATAAGGAATTAATTTTAAGAAACATGGGTAAGTACCCACATATTTTAGAATGTAGGAGTAGAACCGACACTTGGTTGTCACATCACTTGTACTCCATCCAGCCTTCCAGTTAAGGCAAGAAAGAAAATTAAAAATAATGGAGAACAGCTTGTTTTGAAATAGTGTTTTTATAATTGAAATACATTGAGTGTTATGTGAAGTAAGACTGTATCTGGTTTACTGAGGTTTTAGGAAGTTAATTCCTCAGGAAAAAAAGTTTGATACATGGATGTAAAAACTTGGAAGCAATTCATAAATCCAGCTATTTAAAGTCAGTTTTTGTTTTGTTTTCGCCACCATATTAGAGAATGGTCTCAGGACCTTCCCACTGAGCTGTAACCCAGCTATTTTTAAATTTTGAGGTGGGGGTCTTTGCTGAACTGCTTAGGCTTGGCTCAGAGTTGCCATTCCCCTTGTTCAGCCTCCCCTTGCAGGCAAGCACCACCACAGCTGGCTACTAGTAGTCTCTTTCTGGGGACTGGTTTTTTAATGGTCTGTGATATATCCTTAGTTGTTAAATAACAAGCTTTTCACATTGTTAGATAACATTTCAGTTTACCATACTGAGATTAGTTGGATAAAGAAAAGTTAAATTCATTGTTTTAAGTATGGTTATAGAGTATCTGTAACATGAATTTTAGAGCTAATAGGTTGTACTCTTTAGAAATTAATCCTGCGGTATAAAATCATGACATTTTTCATTTTATTCCAATTCATAGATATAAAAGTTACAGAAGTAATGAAAAGAATTGCAGAGCAATGGAAGGAACTTCCTAATGCAGAGAAAAAAGTAAGGCTGTTTTTTAGACCAGTAGTTCTACAGTAAAGAAAGCTGTCATGTCCTTTAAAGAACTACATGGCTCACATTTTTAAAAAAAATATCCATTGTCTGGGTAACTTTATACCTTCTGATCCACATAAATGATGAAAATGTGGGTGTATAGAGGTACAGTTCTGTAGTTGGTGCCAATTTGAAAATGGTGGCTAATCACTACTGTTAAGTATATGAAAAATATATCTCATCCTAGAGCATATTTTTTCCCTATAGCTCAGTCTGTCTGTTTTTTGTTTGTATTTAGTATGGGGTCTATAGGGTCTCACTACGTAGTAGATCAGACTTGTAGTGATTCTCCTGTTTTCAGCCTCACAAGCCTGGGATTACAGGTGTGTGCCATGACACCCATTGCTGTCTCAATACACCCCAGGGGTGGGGCTGGGGCCGGGGCCAGGGCCAGTCTGGCTCGCAAGGGATCGAACCTACTGCTGAGCTCTGCCTAAGCAGGCACTTTAGTCTGCTGAGCTATCTGGCCGGCACTTAAGTCTGTCTTTATCTAAAGTCATAACAGTTGTCCTTCCTTGGCAAATGTGCTATGTTGGCTTTGCCCACAACAGTTTATTGACTTCATTGTTTTTTTATGTATAGGCATATGAAGATGCTTACAAGGTAGAGTTGAAGGCATACCAAGAAGAGATGAAGAGAATTAATGAAGCACTAACTCCAGCTCAGAGAGCATCTTT